CAGACTGCTATTTCAGTGAAAGTCACGGTGACTCAGTGGGTTAGATCACTTACTTATCCAGGGAATAATTGAATTAAATATTGAATTAATCATAAAATGACTGCAATCAAATCCCAGTGCGACCTAGCTGCCAAATTAGCTATGTAGAGCTTCTTTTTACTACCTTTCATTCAGAGAAATGATGCTCATTTTGCAGAGGCCTCAAGTAACTTGAGTCTAATAACATATTTCAAAATTTCTTCTCCTTCTTTATATCCAACAAGATAACATGTTTCCTAAAACTCTGTTGCCAACCCTCCTTTCCCAACCTTCCAGCAATCAGGGTATCATCTAATCTACAGACAATATGGCTACCTCCATCATAAAACACTATCACTCGTGCTTTGGTATCCCGTTATCCAGCAAATCGGACCTAATTCCACTAAACAAGCCATGTAATTAGCATTTTGGCTCAAGTGTGGCACTTCAAGTTTGTAATTCTGATTCTATCACGCCAGTTCGCATTTCTCATTTTCCTTTAAGATCCAATGCATTTATTTGGAGCAGTTCACAGCTGATTAATCAGCCCACAAATTGTCAATATCATAAAACAGGGAAACTGCCATGTCCAGCTCATTACACACTTTCTGATGAAAGCACAGAAGCAGCTCTCACTGACTCTTCCTAGCAAATGGAAAATTTCAATTTGTAAATTTAGAGGTGATTTATAAAAAACCTAAATAACGCATAAGTACAAATCATGCAAAGGTATGAGGCAAGACAAGAAGGTTCAACCCTGGTGCAGCAAAACCATGGTTGGAGACAGCTGTGCGTGAGAGAGTGAGTGAGTGAGTGAGTGAGTGAGAGTGAGAGTGAGTGAGAGTGAGTGAGAGTGAGTGAGAGAGGTGACACCAGAGATGGGCTTCACACATTGTACCCATGTGGGGAATCGTACCCATGTTTTCAGTGAGATGAGTGGATGCTTTAACCATGAAATTAGATCAAGAAAAGAGCAGTATTTTGATACAAACAGTCTACATTTATATGGATACCACTGAAAGAAACACATTTGCTTTCCTTTATCGGTGAATGCAGGGATTGGGTTAGAGAATTTTGACAATGGGCCATTTTCAAGATTATTAACCATTTTCTGAATTTAGAATGGGCCACTGCCCTTGTATCAATAGTTAACTTCAAAATTTTAAAGGGCCATTTTTTATTCTAATGTGCAAAATGGCCCATGGCCCCTGCCTTTCCCAATCCCTGGAATGACTACAGTAGGTCATTTGACTACCTATGACTCCATCCAAACATACATTTCTTGCCACTGGCAGCTTGGTTAGATTTTATACTTCAAGATAGACCTCAGGAACATTGGAATGTGACCTCAAAGAATACTCCAACATAGAACTTTATTGTGTAGGTATTCCTGTCTAGACAAGCACTTTATTGCAGAAAGTAAGGTTAACCATGTTGCTCTGTTGCAGTAAGCCCTATTCAGAAGTTCAACAAAGACACAGTATTTGGATATGGGGATCCTGTGGTGAAGCCACATGTAGATGGAAGCCAATTAGTAACATTGTCATCATCAGAGAAGAAACAGAGAATGGAATACAATTTCATAAAATAAACCAGGACTGCATTGAACTGCTGCACTTGAGTGAGTGAGTGGAGTTTGATTCAGTTTCATCATATAACATTAGCTTCATCAAATGTAGGAGAGTGAGTGAGTGAGGAGTTTGATTCAGTTTCATCATATAACATTAGCTTCATCAAATGTAGGAGAGCATGCAACATCTTAGAAAATGCAAGGATTCAATAATTTGCTCAAGAAAATTAGTGACATACAATATATTGCCGTGTATAGAGCCCACCCCCAACCTCCACCCCACCCCAAGTAAAAGATGACAACCTTGTATAAACCTTCAAAACTGAAGCCAATTTTTATACCCTGTCTATGACTTGACACAGAACGAGGACACCAAAATCCCCAGATTTGCATTAACAACGAGTTTGTCTTCTGTGTTTTTTCTATAACGCCAGCACATAGCGCCATTTCCTGTGTTGGCATGGTGCCAAATTGGTGACATTAAGAAAATGGGTTCATTTTAAGAACTGAAATTAGTGTGACTAAGAGACGCTATTTTCTGTAATTCAATCTCCATTAAAGTTTTAATTTGCTTGTCTTAGTTTTGTTTAACTATGAGAGTGTTTATTCAACAGTCTTTGATACATTCATTATCTACGACTTGCTAATAGATGAAAGAACAAACAGACTTGATTTCAGGTTCACCAGTAAGATATCACGTGTTAGTTATCACGTGTTAGTTATCACATGCTAGTTATTACGTGTTAGTTATCACATGGGTAACTGATCGGGGATGTCTCAGGTCATGAAAATGAAATTCCTGCTAAATATTGCATTCACAAAATAGTGAGTGTTTAGTTTTACGCTGCTTTTAGCAATATGCCAGCATTATCACGGCATGGGACACCAGAAATGGGCTTCACACAATGTACCCATGTCAGGAATCGAACCCAGGTCTTTAAGCGTGCCACTGACGACGCTTTAACCACTAGGCTAAACAAATAACCCCCATTCCCGCCCCATATATTTGAAAGAACAAATCATCTGACAGTTACTTAAAGTCCAGCTTGACTTATTTTAGACTAAGTCCAAATCGTTTCCATGGAAACTGAGAATAATATAAATGACAAAAATCTGTAAATAGCAAAAGGCACCACTTCAAGATCTGTCTCATATATCTGCAATGTTCTGTTGAAAGATATTGAACGATTTTCGTGTTGTGCTCCAGAAACGAAGCCTACAACTCTGTTTTGAGACAAAGTCCAAATCGTTCCATGGAAACCGAGAAAGTAACAAATCACAAAAATCTGTAAATAGCAAAAGGCACCACTTTAGGTTCTGTTTGATATATCTACCAATTTTTGGAGAAAAATGATGAATGCTCCAGAAACGAAGCCATCCCTCCCTTTAAGACTAAGTCTAAATTAAAATGTTTCCATGGAAACCGAGAAAAATAAAAATGCCAAAAACAGGAAATAGCAAAAGGCACCACCTTAGGTTCTGTTTCATATATCTACCAAATTTTGTTGAAAATTATTGAAAGTTTTTAGAGTTATGCTCCGGAAACAAAATGATTATGGATGGGCAGACGGATGAGGCGGATGACTATATCCCCCGATTATCCCCACGGGATAAACATGCAGGGATCATTTACATACAGTGATGATTTACATACAACTCCTGAATGGTTATCATCTCTGAAAGTACTAGAATCTGCACTTTACTGGAAATGTGTAATCCCAAACATAACATATTACATAGAGTTCATTGTTTTAAATTGAGCTTTAATGGGTCACGAATTTAATTTATGAATTCATCAGAGAGCACAAGCACATGCCTACAACAGGTTAAACATTTTAAACGTATGTCTCACAAATTTATCAACATCAATATATATTTACTGGAATTACGGGTATCATGTCATGGAAACTCTTTCAAAGTGACAAACTCTGGGATTGTCGGCACAGACGCCAACTGTCATCCCACATAGAAAAATGCTGCCTTTTTGACAATGTACTTGTAAAAGTGGTTACATATTTACTTTTTCTCAAATAATTATATGTAAACCCCTGTGATTATCTGAGTGATCTGGATTAAAGCAGTGAAAAGTCTTCAAGAACGTATCATCTTAATGCCACCGAAGGTTACCTGAGAGCTGCATATCTATGTCAGCTGACTGAGTTTGGACACACTTAGCAATATTGTGAGTACTGACTGCTGATTGTGCCCTTGACCCGGTCATCTGAGGGACACTAACCAAGTAAGATTCTGACTTGAAGATATTTGGTTCTTACGGTGACCTCTCTGTTTGCTATAGATGATACTTTGCTATACAAATCACGTTACCTGCACGACTTTTGTGATAATTTTCAGCAGCTGGGCCTCTGAAATTTTTACTATTTTCTTTAAAATGTTATATGTGGTTGGTCTATGTTTTATTGTATTTTTATGAAACCTTATAATACTGCATCAATGCTCTGCAGTCAGCTGCCTGGCCTTTGAGTTATTACCATTTTCATCTTATTCTGACTGAAATATATTTTTTTTATAATTGATAATTTATATTTCCTGCTTCCCCTGTTACAGAAGAGGCAATAGAGCCAGGAGACTCTAAGGTCCTTTGCAAGAAAACTTCATTGGTAACAGGAAAAACAGGATTTTTTTTCTAACAAAGCACAAAACAACAACACATTCACTGTAATATTCATAATAAACTCTTATTAGCTGTACTTACTTAACTGTAATACATTTTCCTAAGCTTGTGTTTTTACGATAGGACATTTGTTCCCTGTTTTAACACACTATAACATAACCATACATCCAAACCAAATTCAGCTTGTCTGCAGTCATATATGGTACATTCAAGGCAGTATGTCTTGCAGCATTTTATTATACCATGTGTAGATTTCATACCTTTGCTAATGGTTGACACCAATTGCAAACTGAACATTATTCCTTACAATTTGTAGATCATGTGCTCCTTAAAGTGACTGCTATGACGTACATCATAAGTACTGACTTTACTGGGATATGATGACATGTATCAACCATGATACCAAGCCCCACCACCTGATTCCCTTAGTCAGCTTATGAACAACGAATACAGAATGTCTGAGCGAAGACTTCATAAGCAAATATATGTGACAGTTACATTAAATGTTGAATCAACTTTACATTTAATGCTTTAGTTCTTTTTGCCTTGTGGATGATAGTTTTCCCCCCAAAAAAGTCACTAATCAATTCCACATCACTTATTGAAAGGTTCTTGATGAGAATTCATTCACAAAGTTAATTATACTGACTGTATGAAAACATCTTAAACATGCAACTCATTGCCTTGAAATGATATGACAAGCTCTGGAAGATTAATACAAGTCACAGGGATAATGACAATCTCAAATCTCAGAGTAACAAATTAAAAACTTTGGCTCACCTTCGTTCGTTATCATCCAGATGACAGAACAGGACGTTTTTTGAGATGGCTTTTGACAGAGCCGCCATTGTTTTGTAGTCTTTGGGTACAACCTGAAAGAAACAGAGATATACAACTTGAAAGAAACAGAGATATACAAAGTTTTCAAAACCACAAGAATTTTCTTCAGCGGCACCACCACACAGAACCTCAAAGTAACTTGACACAACTTTATACCAACTTCAGTTACACCATGTTGCAAGAAAAGCTCATTTTTATATAAGATTTCGAAAATAACTTCAAACAAGTTTTAAGCAATTTAATGTACATGACTTAAATTTCTTTGAAAAAAAAGAAGACATCTCTGAAAACAATTTTCATAAATTGGAACCTACACCTACGCTAAAATAAGAGCAACAAACCTCTCTCTCCATAGCAATATTGGAACGTGGCACAAATTATGTCTGGATGACAGGAAAATGCCCAAGGATCTGTAGGCGCTATCAGAGAGTTACAGCTTGTTAGTGACCAAGTGGGGTATAAATGCCTTATATACACCCACATCTCATGAATATATAGAGGCACCGTCTTGGACATGATGCAGTGTTGCTGGGCACAGAATGAAAGCGAGGTAGAGATTTTCTCTGATGGTTGACAGTTCATATTGGACTAACAAAAATCAATGCAGTAAGGAAAATGCTGGTGACAGGGAACACCTCAACGGAAGGACACATTAACAAACTAAAGCAGGCCAGTCAAGACAGGTGATATGTAATGAATCACCACCTATGATCAGCTTGTCAACAGCTTAATTATCATTACATCCAACATGTTCAATAAGCTTCACATACAAGGAGCAAGAATATTGGACATAGAACAAATCCTAAAAGGATTAAGGTTGTCAAATATTTAAATTCAGTCACCATAATTTGGTTATTCATATTTTTATTCTTCCCAATCAAGCCTACAATGTATGTCATTTCACTGCAAGCAAATACAGAATAACCTGTTAAAACATAGATTTTACAGGGGACAAACACTGCTCAGGCATGTAAAAATACATGTCAGGTGATTAAAACATATACGTTTGTATTATGCATGCTTACCATAAGAAAATATATGTTCTCATCTGAATTAGTTCTTAATTCAGTGCGTACCAAATGTTCGTGTTTTTGTTAATTATGTATTTTATGTTAATCTATGTATTTTATGCCACTAAAAAGCACATTTGTATTAACTGCACAGTCATGGAACACAAATTCCTTAAGGTTTAAGCATTCAGCATCTTGTAATTCTTAATCTGTTCACTGGAAAACATTTTCTGTAGATTTTGAAAAAAAATATATCATTTTAATGAATAAGGATACAAACCTCTGTCAACAAAATATATTTTCTCCTCCTACTTTATCCTTGATCAATGGTCACAATTGGATTGCTCCAACTGAAGCAGGTGTTTGGTATGTATGTTTTCCAGATTTGGTATATCAAGGATTTAGTTTTTAACATCAAGATTTATATTTCATAAGGGAACATTATGACTGGTTGCATATAGGTGATGAATGTGTTCTCATGATATCATCAAAAGATTAAACAAATAAGTGAATATGTTGAACAAAATTTGATATGAAGTTTTATTTTTCAGACATTATTAATGTATATTGATATACTGATTATGATCACTTACAAAATAATTGCATTATTCAGTAATCAAGAGATTACAGATCATCGTGAGAACATCACTACCTAGAATATCATAGACCTCATCTATTAAAAATGTCTCTTTACGTCATTTTGAAGGGTGAGTTTTTCAGAGTGAGTGAGACGTTCAGCCAGTATATAACTGTTCGAATTAAGGCCAGACAAACCACTGGTTCATAGCTCGAGTAACATACCTCACTGTTGGGATATGAAGACACATTGCAATGGGGTTCTTTTCACTCCTGGAACTCCCTCATTGTGTGTTTTGGGGATTATAAACTATATTTGATAAGAAATGGATGTTCGCTTCCCAATATCCGGCACTCATCAAGCTGAATGGGATGGTCATGGAGGAGAGCTGTCTGTGAGTTTGATTACATAGTTCCTTACAACCCAATACCAATATTGTTACACTTGAAGGGCATCTGAGACAGGGCTGAACAGAACAGACTGACATTCTACACAGAGCAGTCTTTGATTTTAGCCTCTAGTCCAAAGCCAGGTGAAGCAAAATTCTGTAAGGTATTATAAGCTCAGCTAATCATAGAGCATATAATGACATTACCATCTTCTGAAAATGACGTCAAGATGTTTGGGTTAGTGTTCATATGTTTCATTGACAGGACAGGTAAGGATTCTTGTACCTAGCTCCCATTTCATTCACAGTATTTACTCCATTAATTTAGAAATAACAACCTATAACAGCATGAAGTCTTTGGACACTTGAGGTATAGGTAGTCCACCCATGAACATATGGTATTTGTCTTCTTTCATGAATAAACTCCCTTGCTGTGAATGTCCACATTACAATCTGAGACAGTTGAGAGAATCTCCAGTAAAATGACTGAGTGGTCACAACAGTCTGTTTCAGTCCACCTCAACCCACTGAGTATAGATTGAGTATAGTGATGTCTTTACCTTTAAACTCAATCAAACTTTTAGCAATATTATTACAGAACTATACTACATAATTAATATATAACTGTTACTTTCATGATCTTAACAGGGATGCATATAAAAAAAATATCTTGCTCAAGCACTGAAATCGTCAAACCTAAAGTGAAGGGTCCTTATCCAGAAGGTGTCTAGGGTTACAAGGTAGTACGATGAACACTTTGTGGATTAAGATCTTGAACTCTGTAGTACACCTGGTCAAAGTGCAACAGAGAAAGATGTATTCATGAACAAATTTACAAACTAAAAACTTTTCCTATTTTCCAATTTCACTGTACAAGTATAATATCCTGAACAGCCCTGCGCCTCCTTACAGTACCCATGAAACATCTTGCTGTTGATCACTGGATTGTCTGGTCCAGACTCGATTATTTACAGACCGCCGCCATATAGCTAGGATATTGCTGAGTGTGGCGTAAAACTAAACTCACTCACTCACTCATGAAACATCTAACCAGCTAGTGCAACAAGTCATGCTGGTCTTTCCTTAGAAGCATTGCCAATAATAGCTGTAACCTTATACTCAAACAGGATTATCTGTACCAATTTGCTAGTAACTAAAGCTGTTAAATTCACACTTTAATCTTGTGGCTGCCTTCTTACATCATTCAAAAAGATTTTCAAAATCTGTCAGAAAACAAATTAAAAACCTTGGATACTCTGTTCATACTTGTGACTTGCAAAAATTTGATAATTCTTCAATGGTGTAACTTAAACTTTGTCCTTACATAGTGAGTTTTTGTTGCCAGGCAATGGTCATTGCTACAGTGAGAACTGTGTGATGTAACCATGTCACGCAATGCTATGCTAGCATGTGTGGGTAGGTGGACAGTTTAAACCATGGTGTATTGATTACCAGTAATGTTATCATTAAACAGGACTTATGTGAATCCGTCCTAGTGGGCCCAGCAGTTGTTACAACATTGATGCTCCACTGACGTGAATATTGACCCAACACTTAATAGGCTGACACTCACTGAGTCTCACCGATCTGTGAGCAAAACAGGGGTATTGTGGGAAATGGGTTGGGTTTGATGATGCTTTCTACAGCATTCAGCGACATCATCCCAAGTTAATTTTGAAGCAGGGTGAATGTGGGATGAACGCTGCATTCAAGATAACTGCCGTTATACAATACCCCATGATTATGCAAGTGTGTGCTCACATCTGTCGAGTCCAGGCTGGTTGTATAGTGCTAGCCCACTGTGATACCATGACACAGTTTAACATGGAAACCCCAAAGATGCAGTAAAGCTGACCAGTCCTTGGCTTATTCCCATAATGCATAGCACCAGGCTTGACAACAACAACCATTTTGGGATTTGAATAAGTGTGTTAGTACATGTCAGTTTCAATTATTTCAGTCTGTTATGTCAGGCTGGTATGGGATGAATCAGGTCTCAGATGTACAAAGGCAAGAGAGGATGATTTTATGTTGCTTCAATCAGTATTACAGCATCTCGAAACTGTTAAGATTAGCATGAGTGAGTGAGTTTAGTTTTATGCTGCATTTCACAATATTCCAGCAAAATCATGGCGGGGGGACACCAGTTGGACTTCACTCATTGTACCCATGTGGGGAATCGAACCCAGGTCTTCAGCATGACGAGCGAACGCTTTAGCCACTAGGCTACCCCACCGTCCCAGATTAGCATGATAATCAGGACATGTTAGAACAGAAATCTGATATAGAACTCGGAGACTGTCACCTCACATGCCACCTGTACTGGGAGGACACCTGTACATGTGTATTCACCACAGGCTGTCAGTGCTTAAGTATTGCAAGCATAGTTATATGATAACATCAGCTGGTCCTTAACTTCTTTTGATTGGTATATGTAACTCATCTGGGTACATACAGATTTTTTGAAGATGCAAACGAGTCTGTTGTCGTTGCTTTTCTTTACATGACATGTGTTACTTGTGTCCATTGTTTAAACTATTTTCCTCCTCCTGCTGTGGGAACAATGCTTTAAACAAACTTAAGACCCTTACAAGAATTTCTGCATTCTATTTCTAGTATCCATTACTCAGATTAGAACCATTCAAATGTATATAAACCCTGCACGTCCATACTCTTCCTCCACAAACTCCTGAATCAACAAATCAAGTGGTGCTGGTGCTGGTTTTTTTAGATTTGTTCCTATGGTATATTCCTGTAGCACTGAATCTACAGAAATCCCAAATCTTCAAGTTTTAACAGAATGCCAGTCACTAGGACCCTTGGACTTCATGCTAAATTCTGAAAACTGAGTCATGAGGGTTAGTAGAAATTTAGGGGCGGTGGGGTAGCCTAGTGGTCAAAGCGTTCGCTCGTCACGCTGAAGACCCGGGTTCGATTCCCCACATGGGTACAATGAGTGAAGCCCATTTCTGGTGTCCCCCGCCGTGACATTGCTGGAATATTGCTAAAAGCGGCATAAAACTAAACTCACTCACTAGTAGAAATTTAGACTTTTTTGTCATATGTTGTCACTATTCCTGCCTACAGCCGTTTCCACTGTATCCCTGTAAGTGCAACTCTGGCGATCTCACCTTTTTGACATACTGAGCAGCATCTTCTTCTTTGTAGACCTCGGCGCTGACTGCGTCACGCCTCGCCCGCTTCGTCATGGCGGGATGTGGGGGTGTGCTAGACATGTCATCATCTTTCTCATCACTCGGGGGCGTGGCCGACTTCTGCTTCTCTTTCACCTGTTCCTGAAACATAATGGCAACATTTAGATATACATGTTCAGAACTTAAACATTATAATCAATAAATAGGTGCTGAACTGAAAACAACAAACAAGGGTACTGTTATAACTAATCATTGTGAACGAGTGAGCAATATCACAGAAGTAACAGAGGGGATGTATTGATCATCAAAAAAAGGCGGAGACGAGGTCCAATGCAAGCAATCCAGTGTGTTAGCATCAGTTTACATCTTCCTAGACTGATGATATTCTCAACATGTCCCAGCTAAAGCTGTGAGATGTGGCTAGAATTCAAATGTAATGTCTGTAGATCATTCTCAAGGAACAAGGGTTTAGATGCAAAGGGGTTCAGATGAGAAATAACAAAGGAAAGGTTTCCATTATTCAATCACACAAGATAGAACATTTTGATGTCAACCATGATTACCAAGGATTGCTAACTAGACCAGGAGTTACAGAATCTGCCAACCCATCCAGTAATCATCTTATAGTATTGAGATTTACAGTGATGAATAATACTGAACAGACGGCTGAGGAAAACTACAGAGCCACTTCCAATACCACAGAAATTCAGCACTGTTTAATCTACAAATACTTGCGGCCATCACATCCCCACAAAGATCCTCCTCCTTGTCACAACAGCCACAGAAGACATTCTATTCCCAAGAAACATACACGTGCACAACAACAATCACACTCCCTTGCATAACTAACCCATCGCACCAGCCCTTCAGTGGAGATCATGTTTATCAACAGAGCACACCTCCACACTGCCCAGCCAGCCCTACAGGCCCTTCAGCTCCAGGTTCATTCTCCTAAACTGGGTCGACACCCGTCTTACCATGTGAGTCTGTTCCTCATGCTTGTACCTGACAGGTAGGTCAACAGTCGCTGATTACTCTGTGATGGATGTGTGTGTGGATGGATACCTGACTAATGCTGATTACATTACTGCGACAGGTGACCCTGTTCTGACCGATGATCAACAACTGATATGTCAACCTACCTGGTAGGAACATCTCCGTTACAGGTAGTGCTGGATGCAGGGCATTGTGTACTTCCTGAGGGATTGTGTACCACCTGGGGTCTTGTGATCTAATGGGGAGGATGGACAAGAAGTAATGCTGGGTGTCCTTCGCACAAATTGTCCAGGTTGGACATCATGGCTCCTATCACCGAGGTCAGTTAAGATTATCTATTTTATCAAATCCAGTTTGATAGGATTGTTAAACATTCAAGTTTTATCGAACTTTGAGTTAAGACTCTGCAGTTATTATCAGCTTTGCAAACAAAAGTCTATTGTGTGCTAAATTCCCTTGGCTATCATCCTTCTATAAGGAACTGACTAATCCCTATTCTACTGTCAGTACTTGATCAACATCCACACAAATGTAATAAGGTATCACAGATCTTCAATGAATGTTTATTACTCAAATGTAACTATTTTCTGTGTTTTATCAATAAACCTTTGACCAAATATATCTTAAGGACTGTCGTTTGTTGCCATGACAACTGTTACAGCATATGAATTGTCTATTCTCCATACAGGGAGAGAGAGATCCTCCATGGAGGAGCTTGTGAGAGAGATCAGTCACCCCTCCTTGTCATTCCCCTAACATTGACCTCCGCCCAGCAATAACTCCTGTTGACACTATGGTGATAGAGCAGAAAGCTCTACAGTGTTAATACTGTCCGCCTAAGCAGGTTTTGTTTAATTTAATTTAAATTAATTTTCATTATTATTTTCAGGATTTTGAGAACCTATGATCTATTGCTTGTATCATACCATATGATCAACGTTCTCATGAAAAAGAAACAACATTCACAAGATTCAAGGGAAGTAACTCCTACAACCCTACAGCACATATAGACACTTCAAAGTCATGCAAATCAATCGATCACAAACTGTCCAAATATGCAAAATTGATGTTGGAGTAGGATCTATAAGCTGGATTCATTGTGAAAAAGTAAATAGTATAAGTTACAATAGTATGAGTATAAAATGATAGACACTTTCTGTAGTATCTGCTCAATGGTTGACTCTCTCTGCAGTATGTAGCTAATGTTAACAACACTGATTCATAAATGCATTAAATTCGCAGCTAGATTAGCTATTTATGCAAGGCAATCAGATCTCCAGTCTTCATTCTGAATGCTGATTAGGGACAACACCATAGCAAAGAGGCATTCCTGACAAGCTTCATTCAAGAAGTTACAAAATCCCCCTTTCTTGTGACTAGATTGAGCAATGTATTTACGTGTACAGTTTATGATTACTCAGATAATACATAAAGACTGTCGCAAATTCACTGCTAAGTGTCATACACAGCACTATTAACACCTCAGTTTAACACAGAGCGCTACAGGAGATGATCATTTGACAATTTAGCAGAGTCTCCATCCACATTAATAGTTTATACCAGTACTTGAGCCTACCTCCATCTTGAAATGTCTCAGAAACAAGCAGCATGCAATACAAGACTATCAGGAGTCAGGAGACATGTTTGTCAGGTCAGTGTGTTCATGTCCAGTCACCCCAACACGAAAGACACACTAGACAGCACACCACCACCAACATCACATTTAACCCCTTACCGAAAATATGTGTATAATACACAACAAATAGTTGTTTCACATATCTCTTAATTTGAATTTCCAGGATTAAAACAGTTAAACTCTGTCAACTGACTGACTGACTGAGTTTGGTTTTACGCCGCTTTTAGCAATATTCCAGCAATATCACGGCTGGGGACACCAGAAATGGGCTTCACTCATTGTACCCATTTGGGGATTCAAACCCGGGTCTTCGGCGTGACGAGCCAACGCTTTAACCACTAGACTACCCCACCACCCTAAACTCTGTCAACAATGAAGCCCATATTATCAGTGTGCTTGTTTCGAAAAATGTTCATTTAAGTGATTCTGGGTTTGTGACTCAAAAGTAGAAAACATTAAACATAAAGTTTTTTATAATATTAGAATCCTGCTCAAGAGTTAATCATATTTTGAACTGAATGGTTCTTTTTGGTACAGAGATGGTTATCTTAATGTTTAACAGGAAGCCTGCACTCTAAGATATTTTAATTGTGTTCCTTCTCGGAGTGCAACAGAATGAACCACTGTGTTGCACTCAGATTATACTACTCTTAAGAAATGAAAAACCCTGATTCTTTCATTTTACTCAGTCAAATTGGCATGAGCATCATGACCTTTAGTTTCTCTGTGTAGTATACATTCCCCTATTCATTTCACCTTTAACAACTCATTATGTTCATGATAATATATGCATACAACAGGCTGTAACTGACTGTGACAAACCTTCCAGCGACACAACAGATGCTGTGGTAAAATTACTGATTCATCTACTACAAAACAACCACTTCAAGTCAAACTGACCTGAATATACAGTTTAATATTAACTACTGACACAATCACACATACACATCAGCAAGGCAGGACCAAACACCAACAGATTGCTGCTGCCAATACATGCTACACCAGCTTGGGGATAGATGTTAATACAGAATAACAATACTTCTAGTCAATTCTAACATAATTCTACTTGTATCTTCATGGTATAGGATTTATCAGCTTCAAACTAACACAGCTCACAAAACATCATCACTAATAAGACCAAAACTGTTTCACAAAAGGATTCATTCTACAGCATCACAAAAACCCTATTGAAATAAATTCACCTAACTTTAAACTGGTATCAAGACAGCTCTGAAAAGATGAGCAAACTCCATATTGCTATAGGGTATCTATTGGTGCGTGTCTTAACCTAGATACAACTACGGTAGTACCTTCATTGTGAACCGGAGAGAGTAATCCCCTTACACCCATCAGCTCATGCCTGTTGGTGCTGCTGCTGCTGCTTCAATGAAGCCTTCCTCGGACTCGCAACAGGAAAGTTTACAACCCAGACTGGCTCCCAGTCTCCGCTAAACTAAAGCCTCACTCACATAAACCTTGTTACAATGTATAAACACAATCTGAAATACACCTCCAGCACTATAGTAACATGTATTGTCATAAGCTGTAACTACCATGAAGTTTGTATTTTAAACATTGTAAAATGAATATCCTGACAGATGGTGAGTGACTTAGGCCAGTCTATTCACCAACCTGAACACTGCTACCACTCCGTCATAGTAACTCCTCACCCAACACCACCCCAGTGATGTACAAAACATGCCAAGACAGTAACAGTGTGTTAAAAAGCTGTTTCTTTCTTCACCATACAACTACCTACCTACACTTCTTCCTTTCAGTGGTTAATCCGGAATGGTTTCAGGTAACCCCACAGTGTTCTTCATGGTCTTTGTTTCTGCAATGTGGTCTATATTTAATAAACCAACCAAAACGAGGGAGCCCAAATACCCATCCCCATTTGTAAGATGAAATGTTCTGTAAAATGAAAAGTCGACACACTTGGCAGAGTGACATCCGTGTAGCGACAGCAACAGTTTCCCTTTAACCAAATATCAGATTCCAGTCGTTCATTTATCACCTACTCCTGATACCTTCACACTGTCAGTCAAGTTGCAGTGCTAAGGGCACACACAGATTTGACAAATTGGATGCCAGACAGTTTTAGAATTTCTACACATTTGACATTTCATGCTTTTCGCAATTCTAGTTCTAGCAATTTGACAATAACATTAGCATCAGGCAGCAATATAAACACATTTAGGAAAGTAAAACCGTAAATATATGAGATAGTCAGAAATCCTGTTAACAAAATTGTCATTCTGCATACATTATCATTTCCATTCCAATTGATGTCCATTATCGCAGCAGTTCAACTCATGTCCTCATCGGCTCCTCACCAGAACTGATGGTATGGGCACGTCAATAACATATTGTGTGCCAACACATGTCCTCATCGCCTCCTCACCAGAACTGATGGTATGGGCATGTCAATAACATATCGTGTGGCAACACATGTCACCAGAACTGATCGCATTATCGCAGCAGTTCAACTCATGTCCTCATCGGCTCCTCACCAGAACTGATGGTATGGGCACGTCAATAACATATCGTGTGGCAACACATGTCCTCATCGCCTCCTCACCAGAACTGATGGTATGGGCATGTCAATAGCATATCGTGTGGCAACACATGTCCTCATCGCCTCCTCACCAGAACTGATGGTATTGGCATGTCAATTACATATCGTGTGGCAACTCATGTCCTCATCGCCTCCTCACCAGAACTGATGGTATTGGCATGTCAATTTCATATTGTGTGGCAACACATGTCCTCATCGCCTCCTCACCAGAACTGATGGTATGGGCATGTCAATTACATATCGTGTGGCAACACATGTCCTCATCGCCTCCTCACCAGAACTGATGGTATTGGCATGTCAATTACATATCGTGTGGCAACACATGTCCTCATCGCCTCCTCACCAGAACTGATGGTATGGGCATGTCAATTACATATCGTGTGGTAACTCATGTCCTCATCGCCTCCTCACCAGAACTGATGGTATGGGCATGTCAATAGCATATTGTGTGGCAACACATGACCTCATCGCCTCCTCACCAGAACTGATGGTATGGGCATGTCAATAGCATATTGTGTGGCAACACATGTCCTCATCGCCTCCTCACCAGAACTGATGGTATGGGCATGTCAATTACATATCGTGTGGTAACTCATGACCTCATCGCCTCCTCACCAGAACTGATGGTATTGGCATGTCAATTACATATTGTGTGGCAACACATGACCTCATCGCCTCCTCACCAGAACTGATGGTATGGGCATGTCAATAGCATATTGTGTGGCAACACATGACCTCATCGCCTCCTCACCAGAACTGATGGTATGGGCATGTCAATTACATATTGTGTGGCAACACATGTCCTCATCGCCTCCTCACCAGAACTGATGGTATGGGCATGTCAATAGCATATTGTGTGGCAACACATGACCTCATCGCCTCCTCACCAGAACTGATGGTATGGGCATGTCAATTACATATTGTGTGGCAACACATGTCCTCATCGCCTCCTCACCAGAACTGATGGTATGGGCATGTCAATAGCATATTGTGTGGCAACACATGTCCTCATCGCCTCCTCACCAGAACTGATGGTATGGGCATGTCAATAGCATATTGTGTGGCAACACATGACCTCATCGCCTCCTCACCAGAACTGATGGTATGGGCATGTCAATACATATCGTGGTGGCAACACATGTCCTCATCGCCTCCTCACCAGAACTGATGGTATGGGCATGTCAATAGCATATTGTGTGGCAACACATGACCTCATCGCCTCCTCACCAGAACTGATGGTATGGGCATGTCAATTACATATTGTGTGGCAACACATGTCCTCATCGCCTCCTCACCAGAACTGATGGTATGGGCATGTCAATAGCATATTGTGTGGCAACACATGTCCTCATCGCCTCCTCACCAGAACTGATGGTATGGGCATGTCAATAGCATATCGTGTGGCAACTCATGTCCTCATCGCCTCCTCACCAGAACTGATGGTATGGGCATGTCAATAGCATATTGTGTGGCAACACATGTCCTCATCGCCTCCTCACCAGAACTGATGGTATGGGCATGTCAATAGCATATTGTGTGGCAACACATGTCCTCATCGCCTCCTCACCAGAACTGATGGTATGGGCATGTCAATAGCATATTGTGTGGCAACACATGTCCTCATCGCCTCCTCACCAGAACTGATGGTATGGGCATGTCAATAGCATATTGTGTGGCAACACATGTCCTCATCGCCTCCTCACCAGAACTGATGGTATTGGCATGTCAATTACATATTGTGTGGCAACACATGTCCTCATCGCCTCCTCACCAGAACTGATGGTATGGGCATGTCAATAGCATATTGTGTGGCAACACATGTCCTCATCGCCTCCTCACCAGAACTGATGGTATGAGCATGTCAATAGCATATTGTGTGGCAACACATGTCCTCATCGCCTCCTCACCAGAACTGATGGTATGGGCATGTCAATAACATATTGTGTGGCAACACATGTCCTCATCGCCTCCTCACCAGAACTGATGGTATGGGCATGTCAATAACATATTGTGTGGCCTTAACACAAATGTTCTTCCCGCCTGTAACACAATGA